ATATTTATTTTGTGGTAAATTATTTAGATAACAACTTTATTGAGATATAATTCAGATGTCATAAAACTCATTCACTTAAAGTGTACAATTCAATGGTTTTTAGTATATTCAGAGTTGCTCAAGTATCATTACAATCAATTTTAGGGTATTTTTAGCAGCCCAAAAAGAGACCCCATACCCCTTAGCCATCACCCTCCACCTCCTTTTCCCCCTGTCCTAGGCAATCTTTTAAAAATCTTAGGCTGTTTCCTAAGATTTTTCTATTCTGAACATTTAATATAAGTGGAATCATACAAATATGCGTTCTATTTTAGAAGGAATATTAGCCTAATATTTTAAAAGTTCATCCATGTTGTAGCAGGCATCAGTACTTGGATCCCTTTTTAATGGCCAAATAATAGTCCATTTTAAAACAGTCCATTGTGAATAAATTTCCATTGTAAATCCTTTTTTTCTTTCCTAGGTTAAAACAAAAAACAGAAAACAAAAACCAGAAATAAAAGTTTTAACACTTTCACTACTTTTTAAAGTGTTAGACCATTGCATGAATCCCCTAGGTACACACACCTTAGTTGATGACATTCTTACTATATAATCTTTGGTTTTACGGGGGATGTATGTCTAAATACTAAACAACAAAATAGTTATTTTATGCCGAGGGCAAAAAAAGAAAAAACTCACAAAATGATGGTTTCAGAGGACGAGAACATTTATTCCAAAACCATCTTATTAATTAAATTTTGCCTCAAAGCAATTCCCATTGTAACACGGCTCTGATGCAGTCATTTCATTTGCCTTTATATTGACAGTTGGTCAATTAGTATTATTGAGTGCCCAATAGTTCATAAGTCCCTGAGAGTCAAATAATACAATTATGAAGGCCATAAGAAGCCAGACAGGTTAAACACAGTCTTCCCTGTGATGCTGGTGAACAGCCATGTACTTACTGATGGATCTCAGACTCTTATGGTCAGAGGCACATTTAGTGCTTTCATAGACTGTGATCTACTAAGGATCACAATTTTTTTTTCCTGTAAGTGTTCATCATCATAGATTCTGTGTTACGCTGCCCAAGGATTCATTGCTCCCTGCTCTTGGAAATTTGTTTGACATCACTCAGCTAGCAACTCCTTTGGGAATTATTTTGGCAGAAGAGAGTCACCTTTGCCTTATCCATGGTCATACTCCCTACCAGGAGCAGACTGCATCTAATGACTGGCTAATAAAAAAGGCCTGACTTCTCACCTCAATTCAAGACAACTCTGAAAGGCCCTCCCATCTTCAGAACTTGTAACAGGGTCAGCTGAGGTCTTCAACAATATTGCATTACAAATCAACTTCTCCCTCTGTCCAACCTTGGTTATTTCTCTACCCTCCTCTGGTGTTAATCCTGAGTGCTCTCCTTAATAGACTTCCTACATGCAAATATCTATCTGGGAGTCTGCTTTTCAAAAATCCTAACCTGCTCCACTTATGGAACTTTCTAACTGTTCATTAGAACAGTTCATTAGAGGTTGAGCACTTGACATATAGAGAAAGAAGTACAACAAGAGAACACAAGTGATTCAGTCAGTAAGTCCTACAAATCATGGAAAATTATTGACACTCTTCATTCTTATATAAAGACTTCCCAATGTTTTTTCAAATATCACTTTTGATGTTACTATGATATGATTTGGCTGTGTCCCTACACAAATCTCATCTTGAATTGTAGCTCCCATAATCCCCACATGTCGTGAAAAGTACCTGGTAGGAAGCAATTGAATCGTGGAGGAGGGCTTTTCCCGTGCTATTCTTGTGATAGTGAATAAGTCTCATGAAATCTGATGATTTTATAAAGGGCAGTTTCCCTGCACACACTCTCTTGCCTGCTGCCATGTAAAATGTGCTTTTGCTTCTCCCTCACCTTCCACCATGATTGTGAGGCCTCCCCAGCCATGTGGAACTTTGAGTCCATTAAATTTATTTTTCTTTATAAATTACCGAGTCTTAGGTATTTCTTCATAGCAGTATGAAAGTGGACTAATACATACTATATCCATATTTTTATCCCAGATGACCCTTATGTCTTTGCAAAGACCTTATTGAGTGCAAAGATCAAGGGGCCACAGAACATTCTAAAACAGGTTTCATCTGAATTGAGGATCTTTTACACTCCATTTCATGGTGTTCAGGTTTTTCAAGACTCTACATTTATGACTTTGAATACTTCTCCTCCCCTTATAACTCAATGATCAAAGTGGAAGTGAGGGTGATGATTGAGATAGAAGTGTAAACCATTTAATTCAACTTGGATTAAGTTTGAGTTGAGATGTATTCAATTCAAGCAGCCTTTTTCTGGTTTTCAAAGAAAATTTTGTTGATGTTGCCATTCTCACTTGAAAAGCTAAAAGGAACCCAGAGGCGGTACCACAGAAAAAATTAGGGTTTAGGTCAGAAAGTGGGTTTATCCAACCAGTGTAACATGGTATAGGTAGATTAGAGAATCAGCCATTATCAGGAAGGTCTAAGGCTATTGCTGAAATACTTCCAAGCACCAGTCCAAGGGTGAAACAAGGAAAGAGACAGAACAAGGACCCAGGCAGATAGCTGAGAAAATAGTGCATTCAACAGAATCAGACATCTGGCACAATTTAAGAAATGTGGTTCAGAACTTTGCCTGTGAATGGTATGTAGGTGCTGGAGCTTCCTTTCTCAGATTGCCTGGTGCACACAGCAGGGATTAATGTATCAACTTCATGTATGCCCTGGACTGGAAAACCTTCCAATTTTTATTTCCTTTTTCTTGCACTCATTTCCTCAAAATCTTACCCATTAAAATGGACAGTGTGGACTGGCAGGTGGAGAATGTGATGGAAGAGAGAAGGCCGCAAATTCACTTGAATGTCTAATCCTAATCACACATGCATTTATTATTCGCACATTTTTTTTTGAGACAGAGTCTCACTCTATTGCCCAGGCTGGAGTGCAGTGGTGTGATCTCAGCTCACTGCAACCTCAGCCTCCCGAGTTCAAGTGATTCTCTTGCCCCAGCCTCCCAGGTAGCTGGGATTACAGGTGCCCACCACCAAGCCTGGCTAATTTTTGTATTTTTAGTAGATTCGGGGTTTCACCACGTTGGCTAGGCTGGTCTCAAACTCCTGACCTCAAGTGATCTGCCCACCTCAGCTTCCCAAAGTGCTGGGATTACAGGCGTGAGCCACCGTGCCCAGCCTATTTGCACATGTTACCTACTACCAGAAGAAGCAACAGCTCTCCCCTATACCACATTCCAGGGCATCCTATGATCACATAAGAACACACTCCTCCTGCCACAGGTAAGCGCAATGTACCAGGAAATGGGTTGTGGGTAAACCGTTGTTCTCCCTCTGCCATTAGGATAGGAATGTCATGACAGGTAGCTCTGCCCCCAAGTCTTGCAAAATCTCAATGTGCACCTCAAGTTTGTATTGCTTTAGCCCATGATGGAACTGACAGGTTCGGGAAAATGGAAAGCAAAGTTCCATCAGTCTGGATTGCATTTTGTAGTGTCCCCAATGAGATCATAGCTGGAGAGGCAAGGGTGTAACTCACTCAAAATGTAAGGCTTATGGCCAAAGTTGATGACTAATAATACAGAATTATAGGTTTGGGCTTTTTGTTTTCTTAAAAAACTCTGTCAGGTTTGGAAAGGGACCTCCAATCCTAATTTTGAGATGCCACGGGTAATGTCCAATTTGTCTTAAGGTGTGACTAAAATTTTTCTTTGTTGTTGTTGTTGTTGTTTTTGTTTGTTTGTTTCGTTTTGAGATGGAGTCTTGCTCTGTAGCCCAGGCTGGAGTGCAGTGGCACAATCTCGGCTTACTGGAACCTTCA